AACTTAAATTGTTGTAAATGTTTAGTTTCACACATACATTATTTATACCACAATTTTCTCTGAAAAATAAAAGTATAATAATTTAGATAAAGCATTGTATACAGAAATGCTACTATTTAAGGGTAATCAATTTCAAATGTCACAGTTAAAACATCATTCTCAAATATTTCACTGTCAAAATTGCAGGATTAAAATCCCAATCTTGAAACTGTTAAAGTTTAACAATTTTTTTTTCCTACAAAAATTTACATTTAATGACCACTCTGGGTCCTTCTGCTAGGTGTCTTCTCTTTGAAAAAGTTTTCCTCTGCTATTGAGAGTCATAAAGTTTAGGAGATTCACTTGTTATTGTACACACACCACAAAAATAATGAGTTAATACTTTGTACATCAATAATCTGTATGAGGAAAGAAAGCACATCAATTTCAGAAATAAAGGATTTTTAGTAGATGGCCTCTAATAAATATCTGGGTCTTCATTACTTGTCTTTAAAAAATGATAATATATGGCATCACCTGTATTCAAAACCTGGAAGATCACAGCTTCTTTGTGAGGTGTGCTGCTTGTAAAGCTCTTTATTGCTTTCCATGTAAGTTTCCATCACCATACCCAATTTATAGTGTATGTGCTGCTAGAGCAAGCACAGATTTTATTATTGTCAATAGAAGTGGGGTAATATGAGTTTAAAAGTGTGATTTGCATTAAACATATACAGTTTAAAAGCATTTTTCTTACTAAATTATTATCAGTTTTGTGCCTGAAATAAACAAGAACTTGCTCTAATCACTGTTTTTTTTTTAATCTCCAACAAATAAAATAAATTTTAAGAGAGAAATAATGAGTATTTTTAAATTGTCCACATAATCCAAGCAGTAAATAAATCCATGCAGAGAAAGTCTTAATCCTAAGTGAACTGTGTAACTGGTGTTTTCTGAATTAACCAGATTATTAACAAACTTCCACGTCATTAAAATAATAATATGCTCATGGTATGATTCTGTTTGTGTGTTATTTGTATTTGTGGCACTTGAATCACCATGCTTATTACTTGCACCTGAACTTTCATCTATGAGTAAAGAAAACAGCAGACTTTCAGCGCATTACTAATATGTACCAATAAAAGAGAAAATAACAGCAGATGCAGTATATACATAGAATTATGAGTGAGTAGTTAAGATTTCTCATACAAGAATCTCTGATTCCTGTCTCCGTAGTCATAGAGTCATTTCACATTTAATAATCAGTAGTATTCTCTTTGATGAAATCTTATATTCAAAAAATAATGTTAACTTCTTTTTTTTGTTTTTGTTAACTTCTTATTCATTCCTACTCCTGATAAGAAACAGGTCTTCATATCTGAAAATTACCAAAGTTATAAGTCTAAATTTTCCAACCAGAAGAATTATTTTAAAAATGTACTTATAAAACTGTGCTTAAATTCATTTCAAAATAAAACCAGTTATTTTCCTACTGAGGTAAATTTTGCATATAATAATCCTTTAGCATTATTCTCCTTAAAGAATACATCATTAAAAAAAATTATTGTCGTGTCTTCTTAGCACTCAGGATTACCAAATTGTTTCTTCAAATGTTAATTTTTATTATTATTATTTTTATTTTGTCAATATACAATGTAGTTGATTATTATGTCCCATCACCGAAACCTCCCTCCCTCCTCCCTCTCCCCCCTCCCACCCAAGTGTGTCCCCTCCATTTGCTTGTTGTAAGAACTTCAAAAAAAATTGTGGTTGTTATATCTTCATGGAATACTACTCAGCTATAAAAACGAATGAAATACTGCCATTTGCAACAACATGGATGGACCTTGAAAGAATAATATTAAGTGAAACGAGTCAGGCAGAGAAAAAGAAATACCACATGTTTTCACTTATTGGAGGGAGCTAAAGGTGAATGAATCAAATGTTAAATTTGAATGCAGTTGGTAGCAAAACTAAAAGTACCACTCCAAGTTGAAGCAATTATGAAAAATATAGCTAGTCATTGCAGTTTCTAAAGCCAAGTCTTTTAGAATAGGATACTTTTGAAAACAGACTCAAAAATGGCATCTTGCTGACTTGATGAGGCTAAGTAAGATTATACACTTGGTTACACACAACTTGGAGTTTCTGTGGTATGGCCAAAGAATGGACATTTAGAGGCAAAGTGTACTCCACTTTCTCCATTGTCACCTGTTACGTGGACATGAGATGAGTCAGTATAAAGTGGTCAACCTGGTACTATAGGCAGAGAGATTGAATTAAAATGTAAATGCTATAGGATGATACAAAGCCTTAATTACTGGCTGCTTATAGCTAGAAATAGTTATTTCTAGAAAGGTCCATCATCACTAAATAACATTCAGTTCAGTAGGGTGCATCCATACTAAAATCAAGATCATGGAATGACTTCTCTTTCTAAAAGTTAACTCAGCATAAAACTGTTAACTAATAATTTGTCATGATCAGTAGCTTCAGAGAAGGTCTGGTACTTAATAAAATCTCTTATTTGACTTGTTGAACTTGTACTAGAAAAAATACAATGAAAACATTAGCTTGTGGATGAAAAAACGACTTCACTAAAATCTTTTTATTATTTTTCTAAGAAATGATTAATTCAATTCATAAATTTTTTTAATAAAGAATAAAAAACGATTTGCTCTACCATTTAACTGGTAGGAAATAAATCCTCCCCCAAACTGATTTTACCAAGCTGATTTATCTGACTCACCTTTTGAAATTATGTTATGCAGTTTATCCCTTTTGGTTGATCTATTCCATCAGGCTTAGAGGGGTTTTAATCCTGTTTGGAGTCTGCCTTGTTTCCAAAATGTCAAATTTGTTGGCATAAAACTTATTCCCTTTGAAGCTCAGTTCATCAAGTGCCAAATAAGTTTTATGAATATAAATTACTATTAAACATAGCTTGAAAATTATATAAAAGAAGAGAATAAAGTTGTACCTTTCCAAGAGTACATAATAACTTTCATAACTATGACCATGTTAAAACATTGTTTTTAGTTAGACATGTGGAGCAATATAGTAAATATGGAAAAGTTCTCAGGAATATCTTATTGTTGCGCGTAGTTCACTGGTAAACCCTATGCTTATGTGTAGTTCAGTACCAAGCTGCATCCCTATGAAACTATAGTACTCCGAGCAATATAGTAAATATGGAAAAGTTCTCAGGAATATCTTATTGTTGCGCGTAGTTCACTATTAAACCCTATGCTTATGTGTAGTTCAGTACCAAGCTGCATCCCTATGAAACTATAGTACTCCTGGAAAAGCTAACACTTTTTTTTTTTAAAATGACTAAAATATTGCCTTGATACGTCATTCTTTACCACAACTCAGACTTGGAAATATTGCATATCAGCAGACATTTCCAGAAAATAAATATTATATGACAGAAATCTTGAAAATGGAATAAGAAAAGAGCTGAATGAAACACAAGCCATTTTACATTTAAAGCATGCTATAGAAGTTTATCACATGGTAGTAATGCATATCCAGCCAGCTATTTGTCTGTCCCATTTGTGACTTCACTGAATTCATATATATTATCAATGGGTAGCTCCAGAATTTACAGCTGGATGATACTGCATTATTTATTCAAAAAATAATCACCAAGCAAAACTATGTACTAGATAATGTTTTAAATGCTAGGAACTCAGCTATTAACAGATGAATGAGGTCTC